AGGAGGATGGCGTCCAGAGAGCAATGAAAGACTAAGGGAAGAGAAAATAATAACAAGGGTTTATTAGTCCTAATAAGGGAAGAATTTTTTAAAAACATTTTGAAGAAATCCTTTGTTAATTAAGGCATCTTTTGTTAAAGTTTCTATGTTCATCATAAGTATATCAGGTGTACAGAAGAAAGAAAAGACAGTATATGGTGAACTAACTTTCCATGACTTTGCCAACAATAGTCAACTGCAGAAACGAACCTACACTTAGATAACAAAAAAAAAATAGAGAACTGTGTGTTTTGGCATCACTCTTAAGCCTTCTTCAGCAGAATACTGAAGGTTTAAGTGGCAGACCGAAATACACAGAACTACTTTCTTCTCCATGTGGGTGGGTTCGTGTTTGCTATTCCAAGAAGTTTTCAAGGGCAATTAAAGAACAGTGAAAGCTCCAGTGACGGGAATGAATTACTCATCCTTCTACCCCATTGTGCTGTCAGTCCCTGAAGCTAGACAATCAAATTAATTTCTGATGAATGGTTTGAAAAACCGACAAGTTGAAGATTGAGACACTTATGCAGCATATGGGAATCTTTATTCAGGAAACGTTTCGCCACACAGTGGCTTCATCAGTCCAATACAAAGAGGAAGGCGTAAGGAGAGGAGGAGAATGAGGTAATCAGTCCCTCAACCTGGAGTCGATGTGTTCAGTCCATCAATCTACGGCCCTATGCTGTACATTCTACAAGATTGATGGACTGAACACATCGACTCCAGGTTGAGGGACTGATTACCTCATTCTCCTCCTCTCCTTACGCCTTCCTCTTTGTATTGGACTGATGAAGCCACTGTGTGGCGAAACGTTTCCTGAATAAAGATTCCCATATGCTGCATAAGTGTCTCAATCTTCAAATTAATTTCGCTGAAGGAGATTTCTTTTTTTAAGGTAATTTCCGTGAGAAGCGAGGCAAACTGTGAGAGACACAGTAAGTTCATGGCGGACTGAGACGGAATATTCTCAGTAATGTATTTACGGCTATAATCCACTGATGGTAATCAGCTAGTCCAATTAGCAGCTAGATCAATCATCAGCTGTACCTGTCAACAAACTTCATTCTGCCATTTAACGGAGATAGAAAAAGGTGTGTGCTCTGAATCTCGCTTCTTCGACTTCTTTCTCGTTTAGATCGTTAGAAAACTGTAACTGGACGTGCACCATTCAAATCTAAGAAGACATAGCAATTACTAGAAGTATACGGTTATGTCTGAGATGGCTCACTAATAATGTCCCGTACGACACAGAATCCCCTTATATTCGAGATCAAAGCATGATTCGAAAAGAAACATAAAGAATGATCCTCCAGCAAGCTGCACAAGAAACGATATATTTTTGAAGAGAAATGAAAAGGCTATGATATCCAATATTGCTATTTAGGGAATCAGAGCTAGTGTCATTGACTCACGAAATCGTGATAACACGATTACAAACAAACCATGGTTTGTTTTCCATTGTTGCTGGTAATATCACATGTCAGGTACAGACGTTGCAAAAGTGTTTCGACCGTATGAGACTGGCTTTGATATCCTTTAGCATAATGATATGGTAGTATAATGATATTAGTATAATGATATACTAGTATAATATTAGTATAATGATATGGTAGTATTCATTAATATTCGACTTCAAGAATGAATTCTGTATATAATTAAAGTGCAATGTGGATTGGATAACCATGTTAGCCCGTTTCCCCGTTTGAATTGGATACAGCAGAGATTTGATGGATTTGTTTAGGTGTCCAAGAGGGGAAATCATCTTGCCTTATCTTCGGTCTATCAGCAGCCCGAACACCAAAATTAACATCTTATTACTGGAGAACAACACAGTGATAAGTACAAGAGAGTCCATGTTAGTGGATCTCCAGAAACTAGAGATGTCACAGGGAGAGGCTCAGGCACTAGTTTCAACCTCTCCAAAATGCAAAATAATTTCAGCCAATTTATTAGTATCAGGAAACGCTCCTCAGGTAAGAGGAAACTGTCAACGATCTGAGACGGGTGGAATAGAAACTAGATGATTTGGATACCGAAAAGATCTCTAGTTATTCGTAGGTTAATTCATATCCTAAGGTTTGTATCTGATTGCATTGGACTAATTTCTGGAGGTGATATTCTCTAAGCAAGCATTCTCTTCTCAGAAAATTCTCAGTTCGTTTAAGCAATGATGCCAGTTAGACTTGGTGGACTGGAAGTCCGCAAGCTAAATTGCCCATGGCTTACATCTAGTAAACTTGTGTGAGAGATTCTTCAAAACAGCTCTTGAGCTAAATTGCTAGGATTAATGCTAAGCAGTTTAGCAAAGGTTTTATTCAGTATCGCACACTCGATAGCCTCTCCGCCAGGCCAACTTTACCTATGACCAGGAACAGTTCCCAACGGATCGTTCAATAGTAGAGAGAATCGCCTCAACAACGCAGGAGAGTGTCTGAGAAAGACAGAATTTCTCCTAACTGTAAGAGCTCCTCTTACAAAGGATTCCTCTTGGCTGCCCTTAATTCCTATCTGGGAACTCGTCTCAACACTCACTTCACTGGCATTTATATAACATTTCAGTTAATACCTCAAATCCTCAGCTAACACATGTGTATCTGAGGAAGTAGTGCATCGGAAGACCAATTTGGTTTTCATGGTCTCATATGCCGGGCATCAAAGAAAAAGACCGCAACACACAGAGGTAATTGACAACATCAAATGAACCCTACTGTTCATCACAAGGAGAAACCCACGAATGCACATTCGAGAGTATTAAAATCCACTAGATAATTAAAAAATTTTCCTGAGAGAGCATTCAATTAAAAATTCTGAGACGCAGCTGAAATTATAAAGGAATACTGAGTGAAAGGTTGAGCTTCCCTCACATATT